CAGGACAGTGCAGTCAAGTGGAGGGAAGCCTAACCAATCACAGTTAGCCTAGTCACCCCAGTTACAGAAACAGAACCCCGGTACCCTAGTTACAGAAACAATACCCCATTAGGTAGTTCCATGTTCTTAAAGGTTTCTGTAGCAAAAGGAAAAGAACATCTTGCCCCAGACATCACTCTTCTACTTGGCATGGTTGTTTTATAGGATGAAGTCATAAAACAAAATAAAGTCACATTTGCTCCTTTCCAGATCCATTTCAGGTCCTCCATCTGTCCAAATTTTCTCAGCTTCATGTGTGGATACTGCTGACCTTGTGCAGTGGTGTTGAAAGAGATGCTTCAAGCCTTGGCCAATTACATTCATGTTCTCCAAAGCATATGGGACATTTTAGATAACTTGTTCTGATTCTATGTCCTTTCAGAACTTTGTATCTCAGAATTTACCTCCAGGATCAGGGTCCACATATTGCCCAAAGGCTCCATCAGTAGAATTAAGATACTTATTTGTGAAAAAAAGATTAGGTAAGGCATTTGCTTAAATAGCAACTATGTATGCAGCTGTGAGATGGAGGATTCATGCCTACCCTCACCATTTTTCTTTAGCACTTTATTTTTTTCTCTTGTGGTATAATGGGGCTTGAACTCAGGGCCTTGTGTATACCAGGCAATCACTCTACTTGTAAAAGTGTATGACTCTATACCCTTACAAGTAATTGAGGAACAATTACTTGTAGAAATCCTATCAAGAAAAGAGGAGGAAAGAAAAATGCAGCCAATAGTGTTGGGAGTTCAAAGCCCCAACCTTCAAACATACTGACTTCTCCCTGCCCAGCAGTTGCTACTTAAGCAACAGAAGTGGATCAGTGTTCCTCCATTCAGCCACTGGCTCTGCTCCTGAGGTTTTTCCAAGCACTTTCAGTTTTTCGCTGGTCTGCTGAAGGGGTGACAAACTCGTGCAGAATGGAGTTCAGAGGGGTCCATTCCTCCATTCAGCCACTGGCTCTGCTCCTGAGGTTTTTCCAAGCACTTTCAGTTTTTCGCTGGTCTGCTGAAGGGGTGACAAACTCGTGCAGAATGGAGTTCAGAGGGGTCCGGCTGCTGCTCCTGGCCTTCTTTGTCCTCTGTGCTCCAGAGAGTGCCGCAGTTGGTAAGTAGGCTCCTTGCGGACTTTCAGACCTGTGAGATTCCAGGGCTGCGGGCTGGTTCCAGGGAGAGCTGAGCGTCCCGGGACTGACGCTCAGGTGCACCGTCCCTTGGTGGAGGAAGGGTGTGGCGCGGGACTGGACGCAGCCAGTTTGCCACGGAATCTCAACTCCGCTTTTCAAGCCCCCCCCCCCCCACCTTGTTCTGCGACCTAGATCAGTGCTGCCCCTTGCCGCTTCTTTGCCCCGTGGTTGATTTTCGGACTTTTTTTTTTTTTTTTTTTTTTAAACTTCTGCCGCTGCCGAGCTCCCGGGGCTGTCTCCCGGGTTGCTCCCTTGAGCAATATTCAAGGGGATCGCTTCCCACCCGTGTTGGGGAACAGTTTACAGGCTTCCGAAGTCCTGTGTTCTCCCCAAGTCACTGGAGTTGGAGGTCTTCCTTTGTTCCTGCCAGGAGCTGGTAGGGACATGCCCGCACGCCGCTGTGGGGACTGTGGCTGCACCACTTAGACTGGGGGACATTAGAGATTTCTTCTGTGATTTCTCTCAGTTCCACCCTCATTGTCCCCTGGGCTCCTGCTGCCTGGGGGGAGGGGGGTCTTCTCCCCTCTTGCACCCCCTTTACCCTAAAGGAACTTGTTCTCTGACCGGACATTCCTGGGTTCCAGCTCTCCCTCCTTAAGCTAAGGTAAGGAAGCAATGGGGAGAGGGAGAAGTCCCCACAGCATTTGTGCATATGGATGGTGCTAGGAATTGGACCTAGGTCCTTGTACAGGCTAGGAAAACACATGGTTAGCCCTTAAACCGGAATTGTAAAGGACACTTTCCTCTTGCCTCTGTGAGCTTCCCAATTTAAAACCTTTCTCCCAGCAGGGCACTTGCCTCACCCCAGTAATCCCAGCTACTTGGGAGGTAGAGGAAGGAGGATGGCAAGTTCGAGGTCAGCCTAGACAACTAAGTATTGCCATGTCTTAAGAATAAAATAAAATAAAATAAAATAATAAAAATAGCTAGAGATGTAGCTCAGTAGAAATATTTTTAAAAGGAGTCACCTTGCTGTGCTATAGAAAGAACATCAGAACTTACTCCTCCTATCTAACAAACTTTTTGCCCATTGATCAATGTCTCTCCTTTTGTATTTACTCATACTCCATATCCAGCCTCTGTTAACCACTATTCTACTTTCTTCTTCCGAGTTTCAACTTTTTAATCTTTTACACTTAGGTTAAAGCATTTTTCTTTCCTTGCCTGGTTTATTTCACTTAATTCCTCTAGGTTTGCCCATGTTGTTCCAAGGGACAATTACCCGTTTTTATAGGCTGAATAGTATTCCATTGTATGTGTGTGTCACAGTTTTGTTTTGTTTTTTGATTTGCTTTTGAGACTAGGTCCTACTATTTTGCCTGGACTGGACTTGAAATTCTGGGCACTTGTGATCTTACCATCTCAACCTCCTATATTTGGGGTTATAGGTGCCTGCCACCATGCTTGGTTAATACTAACGTTTTAAAATCTATTCATCTGTTGGGACACTTAGATTGTTTCCATGTCTTGATATTGTGATTTTTCTGAACAATGCTGAAATGAATGCTGATTTTAATTCCTTTGGGTATACATGCAGTAGTAGTAGTAGTAGTAGTAGTAGTAGTAGTAGTAGTAGTGGGATTGATGGATCATATAGTAATTCTGTTTTTAGATTTTTTTTGTCTCTGTGTGTGTGTGTGTGTGTGTGTGTGTGTGTGGTGGTACTGAGGATTGAACCCAGGGGTACTCTACTACTGAGTGACATTTCTACCCCCCACCCCTTTTTAAAATTTTGAGACAAGGTCTCCCTAAGTTTCCAAGACTGGCCTTGAAATTGCAATTCTCCTGCCCTAGCCTCTCAAATCTATGAGATTTCAGGTGTGTGCCACCATGCCCAGTTGTTTTTAGCTTTTTGAGGAACCTTCTGTACTGTTTTCCAAAATAACTTACTAAATTACACCACCAATAGTGATCTCTTTTCTCCCCATTCTTGCTGACACTTATTATTTTTCATGTTTTGACAATAATCAATCTAATAGGTGTGCAGTGGTATCTTGTTTGAATTTGAATCTGCATTTAGTCATATATCTGTTGGTCACTTGTATATCTTTTTTTTTTTTTTTTTAATATGGAGGATTGAACCCAGAGGTGCTTAGCCACTGAGCAACATCACTAAGCCTTCTAATTTTATTTTTATTTTTAAATAGGACCTTACTAAGGTGCTTAGGGCCTGGAGAAGCTGCTTAGACTGGCTTTGAACTTTGGATTCTCCTGCTTCAGGCTCCTGAGCCACTAGGATTATAGGCATGCACCACCATGCCTGGCTGATTTGTAATCTATTTTGAAATCTGGTATTGTGATACCTCCAGTTTTGTTCTTTTTCTTTTTTTGGTATTGGGGATTGAACCCAGGGGCACTCAACCACTGAGCCACATCCTCAGTCTTTTGAGACAGGGTCTCTCTCTAAGCCTCACTAAATTGCTGAGGCTGGCTTTGAACTCACGATCATCCTGTGGGAACTTTCTTTGTTCCCAACCCCTGCCTACCTATAGAGTCACCTGTACCCCATGCCTATCCTTGCTCTGTCCACTTATCTCTCTGTCCTTCCCATCTCCCCTCCCCACCTAGCCCAGAAAAGTTTCTTTATCCACTGCTCCTTGACCTTTTTTCTCCTCTTTTCGTTGCTTGACCTAAAGGGCTCTTGTTCTCAAAACCAGTTATCCCAAATCCTTTTTTCCACCACTTACTTAACCTGGTATACTTCTAGTAATGCCTCTCTCAGCAAGAGTTGTCTCCTGGAATATTGTGGTTGTTGTTTGTTTGTTTGGTGTTGGGAACTGAACCTGGGATCTTTTGCTTGATAAGCACACACTCTACTACTGAGCTACACCCCCAGATCTTTTTATATTCTGGACATTAATTTCTCATTAAATATGTGATTTGTCAATAGTTTTTCCCATCTTAGGGGTTACCATTTCCATGGGGGGTGCTTTTTGTGTGTGTATGGTGCTGGAGGTTGAATCCAGGTACACTACAACTGAGTTATATCCTCAATGCTTTTTTAAATTTTATTTTGAGACAGGGTCTCAATAAGTTGCTGAGGCTTATGTCCAACCTGCAGTCCTCCTACCTCAACCTCCCAAGTAGCTGAGATTACAGGCAGGGCCAATAGAACCTTTTTTCATGGGTCTTGTTTTTTTGGGGAGGGTACTGGGGATTGAACTCAGGAGTGCTCAACCACTGAGCCACATCCCCAGCCCTATTTTGTATTGTATTTAGAGACAGGGTCTCACTGAGTTGCTTAGGCCTCACTTTTGCTAAGGCTGGCTTTGAAGTTGCTATCATCCTGTCTCAGTCTCCTGAGCCACTGGGATTACAGGTGTGTGCCACTGCACCTGGACATGAGCCTTCTTTGTGTACAGGCATATTTAATTTTGGTGAGACCAATTTATCAAAAAAAATTTTTTCTTTGTTGCCTGTGCTTTTTTCTATCTATGAAGGCATGGCCAAACCCTAAGTCATGGAGATTATTCCCAATCTTTTCTTCTAAGAATTTTTAGTGTTAGTTTTTAAGTTTAGGTTTTAGATTCATATTGCATTAAATATTTTTCTTTCTCTCTGTGTGTGTGTTTGTCTGTGTGTGTGTGTGTTTGTGTGTGTGTGTGTGTGTGTGTGGTGGTACTGGGGATAGAACCCAGGTCTCTTTACCATTGATCTATATCCCTATCCCTTTTTTATTTTATATTTGGGACAAGGACTCACTAAATTGCTTAGGGCCTCACTAAATTGCTGAGGATGACTGAATTTGTGATCCTCCTGCCTCAGCCTCCTGAGTCCCTGGGATTACAGGTGGGCACCACCAGGTCCAGCTGTCTATGTGCATATTCTGAATACGCAGGGTGGTCAGGAGAGCAGAAGCTTTGGGTTGAACATGGATGGTGCAGTCATTTCCAGGAAGAAATGTCATTCATTGTTGTTTCTTCCCCAGGAGCCCACAGTCTTCATTACAGCCTCACAGTGAGATGTCAAGGTGGATCTGTGCTCTCAAGGTTCTTTGCTCAGGGTCACTTGGATGATCAGCCCTTCCTGAGCTATGACAGTGAGAGAGGCAGTGTAGAGCCCTGTGCACTATGGGCAGAAACAGTCCTGGGACCAGAGACTTGGGACACAGAGACCCAGGACTTGGCAGAGAATGGCAAGAATCTTAGAGTGACCCTAGCAGATATTAACTTCCTGAAAGAGGAGAAAGGAGGTGAGTGTGGGCAGGGGCAAGGGTGATACGAGGATTTCTCCATGAAAGATGAGAACAGAGAGCAGAGATCTGTCCCTTTTTGTAGCTTAGAGCATGGGATTGGGTTCTTTGTCTTGCAAATTTGAAGAATGAAATCCTCAGACACAAGAGTGAGAGCAAGTAACAGAATTTATTAGTGTCATAGAAGGAAAGTGGAGCTCCCAAAGAGGAGAAATCCCAAGAGTGGGATACCCAAGAATGATTATTATCTAGGGGTTTATATGTCTCTGCGGGGTTAAGAGAGCTAGCCCCCTACCCAGTCCTGGATAAGGAACTCAGTGTCCACAAGCTTTTCATGAACTCTTTGGCCCAATCAGATTACTGTGCCTTTCTTGGTGGGGGTATGGGTACCAGGAAATAGATGTCTCACTATCAGCTAGTTCTTTCTTTGTTTTATTTTACTTTTCCTCTCTGCTTGCACAGGAGTTGGCCTGACCTTGATGAGGCCTGGCTGGTGTCTTATAATTTCTCAGCCCTCCTATATAGAGACTTGAACCTGAAGGAGCCCAAGTTTCCTGTCTGTCTATTTTAATCTATTCTCACTGTATTTGGTTGGGGGGGGGGCAAGCAGTGTTCTCCATGAAGCTCAGCACAGTAGTACTTTGAGGGGAGCCAGGAAGGGGTCCCCTGAGGGCTGAAGTTTTATACTTGGGCAGGGAAGGCAGAGTAACCAGGGGATGGAAAAGTGACTACTGGGCCGGGACAGGGTCTCATTCCCTCCAGGAGAGTTGGGGCTGTGAAATCCGAGAGGACAACCGCACCAGGGGCTTCTGGAATTTCTACTATGATGGGGAGCCCTTCCTCTCCTATCACCCAGAGACGCGCAGCTGGACCGTGCAGCCATCCCCCGCTCAGATCTTGGCTATGAAAGTCAAGAATTCCTTGGATGCAGACGGCATTCAAAGCAAGGCTCAATGGGCCCATGTGCAGGGAACAGTTTGTGGAAGACTCCGGAGATATCTGAACTCCTGGATAGCCTTCAATGAAACTACAGGTACCCCCCATTCCTGAAGCTCCAGGGGACCCTTTGTACTATGGGACATGTGTGTTCCCTGTGAGTGTGTTGTAGTCTGATTGCCCTGTCCTGATAAGCTTCTGGATAAAGACAGGAGGGTTTGGCAGCAAATGAACTATCTGGGCCATGAGCAGGAAGCAACCTGAACCTTGGACAGCAGGGGTTTAGGCAGGAGTGGAATCCTCACCTACCTGTCTGCCTACCAGCCTGTTTATCATGTAGAGCTCCCTCTTGGACCCATGACCCAGGAGAACCCCCTGCACCCCTTCTTCAGCATCAACATTTGGGAGAGAGAATGTGAGGCCACCAGTCAAGCCCTATCCTCCTGCCAGTCAAAGGATTAAGGTCCCAGACAGATCAGACTTGCAGAAGGTCAGGGGTCAATGAGGACTTTGGCCATAGACAGAAGAAGAGTGGAGAGAACTAGCCCTGTTCCCTCTTCCTTTATTAGAGGGGAGATAGGTTAGAAAACATCCCTGACTTGTTCTGCTTTTTCTGCCTTTTCTTCTCCAGTGTCCCCAAAAGTGAATATAACCTGTGATGAGGTCTTGGAAGACACCATCATCATGACATGTTGGGCTTTGGGCTTCTATCCCAAGAATATCTTTCTGACCTGGCTTCAGGATGGGAAACCCCTGAGCCAGGACACACAGAAGTCTGGGAGTATCCTGTCCTATGGGAATGGGACCTACCAGACCTGGGTGTCCACCAGGATTCCCCAAGGACAGGAGCAGAGGTTCAGCTGTCACGTGGGACACAGCGGGAATCACATTAATGGCACTGTGTCTTGTAGTGAGCCTGAGGGTCCCATCAGGGGTTCCCAACAAGGTGAGTCAGTGACCAGGGTGGTAAGAGGGGGGAAGCCTTGAGCCCCAGTCCCAGAGTGTAACAAGCCTTCTTTCAGGCACTGCACTGCTGCTTCGGAGCCGATGGCCCACCATTCTGGCTGCTGTTGTTGGTGCTGTGATCATCTTGTTTTGGCTCCTTTGGTGCAAGAAGAGGAGGACAACATCAGCTGCACAGGGTCCAGGTGAGAAAAGTGGTCACTGGCTGGAGATTACAGGGCCTGTCTTGGTTGTAAGTCTCTGAAGCCTCCCACTGCACAGAGAGCAGACTTCTGGAATGGAGGAGGATGGAGGTCTGTGTATTTGTGAAGTGATGGGAGCCATGTCTCCAGCTACTCCCCTTAGCCCTGCCAAAAGCCAGGGTAGGGAATTCCCTTGAAGATCTAGTTGCAGATCTTCTGGCTGCAGGGGCTGTGGCTTCTGCTCTCTCTCAGGCTCCACAGGCTTGACCAGGGGTCTGTGTTGGGAATGGTGGGCTGATTAGTGTGGGCTAGATTATCATGGCCTCAGAGGGACACACATTAAAAACATCTGCAATTTGGGGGATCATAGCCTTGGGGGACCTCACAGTAAAAGCATCTGTTTTAGTCAGTTTTTCCACAGCTGTGACCCAAAGACCTGACAAGAATAATTTTAGAGGAGGAAAAGTTTATCTGGAGCTCATGGTTTCAGAGGTTTTAGCCCATAGATGGCTGACTGTATTGCTCTGGGCCTGAGATGAGGCAGAACATAATGGAAGAAGGGTGTGGAGAAGAAAAGCAGCTTAGGACACAGCCAACAGGAAGCAGAGAGAGCTTTCCCTTCACCAAGGACAAAAATATTCACCCCTAGGGACCCTCCTCCTCCACCCACACTCCACCTGCCCACAGTTACCACCCAGTTAATTCCTATCAGTGGATGAATGCAGTGATTATTTTAAGGCTCTTAGGAGCCAGTCATTGTACCTCTGAATGTTCTAGTATTGTTTACCACAGGATCTTTTTGGGGATCCCTCATATTTAAATCATAACAACATCTATGATCTGGGGCTGGGAGGCTTAGAAACTGGAGTGGAACCCCACAGGAGGTGATGCCTCTGGACCCTTCCTGACTATGTCCTCTCCCCAAGACACTCCAGCCATCATGAAGAAACCAAGAAAAAGACCCATGAGGCCTGGAGTGGGAGAGCCCAGCCTGCACAGCCTTGGGGAGGCCTGTGTAGAGCAGGTGTGGGGGTCTTCAGTGCAGCTGGTCATCGTCTGTCCTCTGTCCAGCTCCTCTAGTCCCTCCTCAGGAGCTTTCCCCTGATTGTGTCCTCTGGGTCACCTAGGATGTGCTCCCTTCTGTTCCCATCACATGGCTCCTCCTCTTGGAGTGGCTTTGCAGGTGATTGGGAGAGTAGAAAAACAGCTGTCCTTGACCATCTAGGGAGAGACACTAGCCCTCTGTGAGGCAGCTGCAGTTATTGTTTCTTTCCTGCTTCTGAGATTTTCCTGTCCAGTCCTTGGAGTCACAGTCCCTAGAGTTCAGTGTTTTGGGCCACTTGTTCTGTGCTCTGTGGGTTTCCCTTGTCCACACTGAGCTATTTTCTTTTTTAGTATTTTTTTTTAGTTGTAAATGTACCCAATATCTTTATTTATTTTTATGTGATGCTGAGAATCAAACCCAGTGCCTCACGCATGCGAGGCAAATGCTCTACCACTGAGCTACAACCTCAGCCCCATCCTGAGCTATTTTTTTTTCTCAAGATGCTCACTGCTCTGTGAATTTGGTGTGAGGGATGGTCAGAATGATTCCTCCCTAATTAAGTTGCTTGAGAGGACAGGAAAAAAAAAAAACAGGAAGTTCAGGTTTTAGCAGAGAGCCAAGGTGATGGGTGAACAGTGACAGGGTGGAGGGTGGACAGAAGCTCAAATCTTCTTTTTTCTGCACCTTCTGTGTGCCTGGCATGGGGGCAGTAGGTGGTTTCTTGTCCTTAACCTGATTTCACTGCCTCTTGGCTTCTCAAGCCTGAGGAGACCGCCCCAGAGCATGGACCCAATGAAGGTGACTCCCCCAAAAGGGAAATAAGCTTTCTGCTTGCTCTTTCTCTCTGCATCAGCTTCTCCAGTAGGGCAAACAGAGGGAGTATTTGTGTGTGTGTGTGTGTGTGTGTGTGTGTGTGTGTGTGTGTTGCTAGTGATTGAACCCAGGGCCTTGTGCATGTAAGGCAAGCACTCTACCAACCGAGCTATTACCCCAGCCCCAGGGAGAGTATTAATGTTGATTTCCTGTAGGCAAAAATGATTGCCTGGAATGTCACTAGGGCATTGCCAAGGAAAAGAATTCAGAAGGTCAGTTTCTCATTTCTGCATATTTCTGCTTGAAATGTTGGGTCTCTATAAGGATGTTTCAGTTTCAGCTGCATGGATATGAATAATAGTCCTCTAGTGCTCATGTTATAGAAATCACATGAGTGCCCCAGGTAGGATACCTGGATTGTGGCTGTGGCAGTCCTAGAGTGCAGAGTGGGCAGACAGCCTCAGGCTAAGGGTCTCAGGAAAGCCCCTAGTCTGCATTGGAAAGAAGACCCCTGTGGGCTGTGAGGACTGTGGCCTGGGTAAGTTCCTGCTAAGACTGGGGCAGGAAGACCAGGGCCACCTCAGAAAGCACTGGCTCTTGAGGAAAAGCTGAATTCTCAGAGATAGGTATAATAGGGGGCAGAAGGTGGGAAAAGTGCAGATTGAGATCCTGGGCAGTTGCAGAGGGTCAAAGATACTTAGTCTCTTATGCACTGGCTGCTCCAGGGTCAGTTGAGCAACAGATCATGTGCCACATATGTTTTTCCATGGTAGGAGTGTCTGCTGGTGCCCCTGGGCTTCCTTGTGGGCTCTCAGTTAGATCTACTAGCTCAGGACTGGGAGGGAGGGATGCTGAGCTACAGGAAGGGCAGGCCCTGCTGGGTGAGCACCTGTCTCTGCAGGGGAGGAGGTCTGTGAACTAAGGGGTTGAAGTGCTATGTGTGAGTGAGCCCCATGCCCAGACCTGGCAGGATTAAGTGCTGCCCTATCTGTGAGGCCCCTACTCTATCATGATTGATTGGGCTTGAAAGGAGGGGGCATTGAGCTTTCCTCCCAGATTTTGTCCTCAAATACTGCAGCTCTTTCACCCTTTCCATGGTGGAAACAGAGACAGGTGGTGCTGCTGATGGAGACCCAGAGGAGCCTATGAGGGCAGCAAAATGGGATGAGAGGGAGAAAAAACTCAGGGAATTTACTTTTCTAAGAGAAAGGCCCAATCAGAGTTTTGAGGAACTGAGGAGAGAGAGGTCCTGAGGGAATAAAGATCAATATTGTGCAACCAATTGAACACTGTCTGGTTCCTTCTTCCCCACAGGCCGAGAGTCTGCACGTTCCTGGATAAGCAGCCGAGGGCACCAACTGATCACAGTGGACCAGGCGCAGGCCTATAATCCCAGAGACTGGGCAGACTGAGGCAGGAGGGTTGCAATTTAGTGAGGTCCTAAGCAACTTGGTGAGACCTCATCTCAAAACAAAAATTAAAGGACTGGGGATGTAGCTCAGTAGTAAAGTGCTCCTTGTTCACACCCCAATAAAAAAAAAAGTTACCACACTGGAACCTTGAAGCTGTGATTTCTGCTTCTGTGTCAGTTCCTGGCTCTCCTGATGCATCAGGGAGCTTAGACTCTGCTGTCCCTGGCTAGGCCTGGACTCGGCTTCCTACCCTCCTCTGACTAGCACTTTCTCCCTTGGTGCCTTAGGTTCCTCTTCTCTACCACTTGGAAAGACATATTTATCAACTGTTGGGGTTGGGGGATTTAATATAAATGAGCTGCTTGCAGCTCTGCCATACTACATATTGTACATATAAATTATTGTGAATGAATTTTATTTGTAAGTGTCCTTGTTTGCCTCCTCCCAAGAAGACTAAAATACTGGCTTTCCTTGACTGTTGAGAACCCCTCAGTCCCCGTCTGACTATGCATTACTTCATGTCTTCATAATTTTATACCATAAATTTTTTAGTGTATATATATATACATATATCATATGTATTTGTGTGTGTGTGTGTGTGTGTGTGTGTGTGTGTGTTTGCGTGTGTCTCATCTTTTTTGTTTCATGTCTCTGGGAAGAGACAGTAAAAGAGTTAGGGAAAAGTACATTTTTGTCTCCATGTCTGTCCATGTCTGAAAGAGCATAAAAAAAAAAATCCACCCGGTTTCCTGTGACCAAAAGATTTCCAACAAGAGAGGGCTGGACCTGAGGGCAGGGCCACCTGGGGCCAATATTCAGAGCTGACTCTGTGGTTTCTTCTGCCTTAAAGAGCTGGAGCCCTCATGTGATGACTCAGAGTTGTAGGGTGTTTGGTTCTTAAAAATTCATGGTTGGAATCCATCCTCAGAAAGGATTTAGGATCCAGGCACCCCCACTATTTCCACTACTGACTCATAAGTGGAAGGGACTGACATCTCCAGCCAGAAACAGAACATTTGTTCCCTGAAGTTCCTACAGCCTGTTTTGCTCCTCACTTTTCTATTCTCTTCTCAGCACAGAAGCCATAGTGCCTTTTACAACACAGTTGTTCTCATATGGGCAGTTCTACTGTGATCCTCCTGTACTTAAACTGTCTTCACTCTGGCTCACCCAGAGAAAAGGTTCAAAGTCTTCCAGGAACTTCCAGACCTGCAGGATCTGATCTTATCATTGGCCTCTATTGGTGACTCTGTTCAGGGCACACCACAGTTCTCACTTTCCCCTGAACACAAGGACAAGCTCCTGACACAGTGCATTTGCACTGCTATTTCCATCTGCTTAAAATTTGATCTGACACCGGCAAGATAATTCATCCTCCTTCAAATCTTACCTCAAAGATCATCTTTTCATCAAGGCGGACAGCAAGACCTTGGTAAGTACCTGTCTTCTCTGCCCCATGCCCCACACCTTCTGAATATACTCGTTGTTACTCTGATGCCTCCTATATGAACACTGTGCTTATTTAATCTACTTACAGTGTACTCCTATGCTCTAGCCACTAGAACACATGATCCACTAGGCTGGCAAGTTTTTAGCTTTTCCTCTGATTCTCCAAATATATATAAAAAATAAAATCACATATTTTGAGACAGGGTCTCACTAGCTTGCCCAGGCTGGCCTCCAACTTTCAATCTTCCTTCTTCAGACTCTTGAGCCACTGGGATTACAGATGTGTGCCACCAGCGGTCCTTCCTTCATTTTTACTGCTAAAATTTTACATTTTATGGATATAAACAGTTTGCCATTTGCTTGGTGATGTACATGTGTTTGATTCTACTCTGTCATAAGCATCAGTGCACACACAGGCAAGATCACTCCAGGTTTTTGATAATTAGGAGGTACTTTTGACCCTATCAAGTTATTTCCTTCAAACAATGTCCTTATATCAATTGTAACTCTTAGCAGCAAAGTGTGAGAGTTAATGTTGCTGAAGTTCTGAAACCAAACCTAGAAGATGGGTAGTATACATCTGGAGCCACAGTCTTGGCTGCAGACCTGCCCAGGCCTTTTATGTCTCTCAGCAACTTCCTCTCCTTCCTTTATTCCACATGCCCTGGCCTCATACTGCCAGCACATAGGTCCAGTCCCTGAGGTCCAGTTCCTGTTTCCTTCTAGTAAACCACTGAGGTGCTGCATTGGACTCAAACCTTCCAAAATAAAAAGGAAAACATGAAAGAAGGGAGGTAAAGAGAAATGGAGAGAGGGAAAAGAAAAGGAAATAAAAAAGACAAAAATAAGGAAGAGGAGAAGCAGCATTGGAAAGAGCAAGAGTAACAGGCATTATCACTATGCAAGAAAGTAAGGAGATGGAGAAGACACCTGTAGAACAGCAGATATGTAGAGAGTTGGCTAAACAAGAAGCATCCATGAAATCCCTGAAATAACACATAGATCATCAATGTGGGTGGGGCCCAGGAGGTGAAAAAATGTGCATAAACAAAGGATTTCATAAGCTGTAATAAGTAATAAGTAGATCATTATAATAACAATTACACACAAATGGAAATGATTTGTTAGTCGTGTTCTCCAAGACAGAGCTGAAAGGTGGGTTTGAGCTCACCAGCGTTTTACTAGGGGAAACACCTGTCTGAGAATGTGAGAAAGGAGCCAGAAATTCCTGGGAAAGCCTTCAGATTGAGGCATAATCAGACACTGGGAGATGGACAGAGGAAGAAGAGCTTGTAGGATGGGTCCTAGACTACAGACAACCTAAGGAAAGTACAACCAGGACATGAGAGTGTCCTGTCTATGATGGCCAGCAGAGGAGTCCCATGTCTCCCAGGGACAGGCCTGTATCAGTTACCTTGGTTTGACATGTTTTTTTTTTTTTTGTAACAAGTACCTGCAATAATCAACTTTAAAAGCTGAAATGTTTATTTTGGTTTGTAAAAGGTTTATTTAGCTTGGGAAGTTTGCTTGTTGGCTCTGGTGTTTTTTGCCTGTGCCACCACAGTTGATTGTGGGTATGCACCCATGAGCTATTAAGCATCCTTTCTCAGCCTTGAGCCAAGAGGATGTTGGTCTGGCATTGCTCTCTGTTTGGGCTGCGTGATGCAGGGGGCCTCCACCTTCGCTCAGCAAAGAAGTCTGCTTTCCCCTGGCTCTGGACCTGGGCCTTACCTACTGGGCTTGACACCAGCCTACTCCCTGCCTTATTTGATGAAGAACATTCTACCAAAACTCCTTTGTTAATTCTGCTACATAGAAACAGATTGTACGTCACAGCTCTCCCTCTTTCCAGTATGGAAGTATGATCTTAAGGTCAAAGAGCTGTCCTGCCCTTGATCCCCCAATTATTTCCATGTTCTGTAATTTTTTTGCCACCTTCTTCTTAGCTTAAATTTGCAGCCAGCCTGTTTAAATCCAGTTTGTCTCATCTGCGTGGGTCACAGATGAGAGTTCATCATGACAAGTGTGTATGACTCAGGAAGCCCATCACCTCATGATGGCAAAGAGGATGGGGTATGTTTCCTTGATTGCCTCTAGTGACATGTCTCTAGGAGGCAGAAGATCTCCTTCTAGGCCCACCTCTTCAGGTTTCCACCACTTTCCCATTGTGCCAAGCAGGAGAATATGCCTTGAACACATGGGCTCCTGTGGAACATTCCAGGTCCAAGCTCTACCGCCAGTCATTGGCCTCAACAGCCCTGGTAAGCAGGGCCTCTGCACCAGTGCCACTCTGGGTCTCAACACAGGAGCAGGGCTCTTGCTGGACATCCTGAGAATGTGACCCAAACCTTCCTGAGGTGTCTGGGATCTTGGAAATCAAACCCTGAGAGGCAAGGCAGGTACAGGGATTAGCTTCCAGTTAAAATGGGACAAGGAGAACCAGAGGGCACCCATGTGGATCACTGGAATTCACATATACCCTTCCTGCCCTCACTGTGTGACAGCAGCCCTCCCTCATTGTGAAGACCAGCCTCTATCACCACTGGCAAGAAAGGAGTTGAGGGTGTCCTCTGCCCTCCTACTGGTCCCAGAAGTGTTTTAGTCAGCTTTTTCATTGATGTGACTAAAAGGCCTGACAAGAACAATTGGAGGAGAAAACATTTATTTTGGAGTCCATGGTTTCTGAGGTCTCAGTCCATAGAAGACTGACTCCATTTCTCAGGCCTTGAGTCAGGGAGAAGATCATGGCAGAAGAGTGTGGTGGAGGAAAGTGGCTTGGGGAATGGTAATCAGGAAGCAGGGAGGGAGAGAGACTCCACTCACAAAATACAAGATATATACCCCAAAGGCGAACCCTTAATGATCCACCTCCTCCAGGCACACACTACCTGGATTAAATCACTACCCAGTTAATCCCTATCAAGGATTAATCCACATATTGGAATAAGGCTCTCATAACCCAATCACTTTACCTTTAAGCCTTCTTTAATTGTCTCACACATGAGCTTTTAGGGGACATCTCACATGCAAACCATATCACTGTTCAAACCTCCCCTGTGGCAACAGCAGTGTGTAGTTCAATGGCCCACTTGCATCCCTTGGTAGGAATGCTCCCCATCAGGAAATCAGGGTATTCTATCCTGCAGAGACCAGAGTGGCAGACATGGGAAGTCCAAGATCCCCAGTGGGTTAATCTATGTGATGGTGAATGGAGCCACTTAGTTTCTGGATCCACATGTTCTTTCCTTTGAGAGCACAGCACCATAAGGAGGTCTCTGATTCAATAAATACACTGTGTCCTCAAAAAAGGCAGCTTGCCCTTCAGAGGGCTTCCTCAAAGCTTAGGCTCAGGGGGGCCTTACAAGACCCATCCAGAACTGTGTGTGGCTGGCAGCCCCTGCATAATGCAGACTGTGCATGACCTATGGGTCTCCTGGTTATGGCTCATGCCACACCTGTATCACTGTGATTGCTGTCACGGTCAGATAACAAAGAGCAGTTTGGGTTCTTTGTGGCATGACGAAAGCCCTTCAGAGTGGCTGAGAGTCTGAGTCATGGAAGATAAAACTGACACATGAAATCCCCGTCTGTTTCTAGGACAATGAACCTCCACTCTTCCAGGATGCAACTGGCTCAATGAATCAATTTGTTATTTAGTGCCTAAAGAAATACTGGTATCTCCAGGATCAGTACTGGTCCCTAATTCTCAGAGTTTGGATGTTAAGATGTGCAGCATCTGAATCAGCCTTAATAAGAAGAAGAATTGCTGCTGGGCTCAAATGTAGGGTGCATCTCTGCCTTTGTGGTTACTCCAGTCATATGCCTGTCATTTGAGTCCTAGGTGGCCAGTAATGACACAAGTATGTTATTCAGCTTTCTGTTACTCTTGTTAAATACCTGAGACAACCAGCCTAAAAAAAAGGAAAGGTTTATTTGGGATCACTATTTCAAAACTTTCCGTCCCTGGTCTAAAGGCTCTGTTGCTTTGGGGCCTGTTGTGAGACAGAACATGAACGTGGGGAGCCCCTAGCAGAGGAAGCTGTTCCCCTCGTGGCAGCTAGAAAGCAAAAACAAAGATAGGAAGGGGCCAGATCCCAACATCCCCTTCAATGACACACACCCAGTGTCTTCATTTCTTCCAGTAGGATCCACATCCTAGAGGTTCCACCATCTCTAAGTAGTGCCATGGGCTGGGGAAGAAGTCTGTAACTCATGTGCCTTTGGGACACTCAAGACCCAAATTGTAACAGTTGGATCCTGTCCATTTGTCTACTTTGCTGTTCAGAGCCACTTCAGGGTGATGGTTTTCTGCATGTGATTCAGGCTCAATCTCAGATGTATTGTTTCCGTGTGATGATGGACTGCCCCAGACCTGTCCAGGTTGTGACCTAGTGAGCTCCACAGAACCCAGTCCATGTTGGCTATCATCACTCCAGTATACTTTAGTGTCCCATGGTCAAACTTCACCAGGCCTAGTAACTCACAAAAGCTCATTACTGAGAGGGGAACATTTCTGGGTGTGGAAGGCATGGCCTCCCTCAGATCCCAGGGCCCTTGATAGTGTTTCTCACCCTGTGCTTGGTTCAGCTCCATCCCACACCTTTCACACACTGACACTCCTATAGCAGTGGAGTCTGAGGTGTGGTGGCTGACTCCATCATGGCCTGGAACTGTAATAGTGTCCATTTCTGTCCAGGTACCACATGAAGCTGGCCTATTATGTCCCCAAATATGTGGCATAAACACTGCCTCAGTGTGGAAAGTGATATTGCCAGAACCCAAAGAGGCGCAGGCCGCCTGCTTCCTTCCCTGCAGTGAGAGATGCCAGGTGCAGCAGCTGGTCCTGTACTGTGGAGGAGACATCTCTGCTTGTCTTTAACAGCTGGACCCCTAAATCGCAATGAAGGGGCCACTCCTGAATCTCTGAACATTTTATCTTCCACTTTCTGAGGAGCATGTGCCTCATCAAGAGATCCAAGGAACTTCCCCCTCTTGCTCATCCATCCCAGGCAGCATGATGTGCGATGAAATGAACTGACTTCATATTCTATGGGTTGTGCATCCAGTCCAGACTCTTAACACTGCATCCTAGAGGGCAGGGATGGTGAGGCTGTGGGTATGTGGGTGTTGGTGCCAACTCAATCCCAGTGCCTGACACTCCCCAGCATCCTGCCTGTTTCTCTCTCTTCATGAAGTCTCCTGAGATAATGATTCCTTGGCAGAAGGACTGACGGAATCATGGCCACATGTCCTTGTTTGTCCTAGTCTCTTTCTTCCCTTGATGTGGACACATCTTCAGTCACTGGGTTCTGAATCTGAAAATTGGCTCAGAATTGAGAACGGAATCAAGACTTATTGGTTCAAACACTTTCAGCCTCCTGCTCCACAGTTTTATGTTTATTGCTAATATTGAGAAGGGTGCTTACTGGTCATCTGTCTCACACCTATCTGTTTGACACTAGGGACATAAAACTCCACAAACTTCCACAGCCCCTTGCAGATCAGAGCACCCCTGACAGCTGCTCTGGGGTTGCTGTGGTGGGCATGGTCTCTGGTCAGTGCTGGTTAATTGCCACCACTTGATCTCCTGACCTTTCAGGACCAAACCCTCCCCATGAATATGAATGAGCCCCTTCCCCACCCTCATCACAGCCTGCATAGGAAAACACCCACCTTTTTAGTGAAGCAGGCCCTTGTCACCAGCATATTCCTGTGAGCTTTGGTAAAAGTGTCCTCTTGGACACTTGGAATTTCACTCTCTTGGGGGCCTTGTGACCTCACAGAATCTCTCTATTCCACACGCCCTCTTCCCTCAGCCTCATCCTCCATTGTCTTCTTGAGCATCTATGTTATGTTCACCTGCTGAGGGGTGGACATAAGTTTTTTCCAGTCTAAACAGAGGTCACAGAGCCACAGAAATTACCACAACCCAAGTGGTTTTATGTAGCTCCATTTATGACCTCCTGTTATGTAGGTTCCAAGTCCCCCATGGGGCTCACAGGGCTAAAGTCAAGGTGACAGCAAGTCTTTGTTCCTTACTGGAGGCTTTGATAAGGAATCTGCTTCCAGGCTCAATAAGGTTGTTTGAAAATTAAGTCCCTATCTAACTGTCATTCAGGTACCACTTTTAGCTCCTGGAGCCCTCTCTCAGGTCCATATGTGCCCCCTACAGCACATCTTATCCTTCTTCCACTGGAACCTCTGAAGTCCCTCTGCTGCATCTCCTCCACCTGTCTCTCTTGTAGCATCTCTCTGACTCCAGCCAGAGAAGGGTCACAGCTTGGAAGTTTTACTGTGATTTGATTGGGTGACCCAGGGTATCCAAGACAATCTCCCCATTTTTACATCGTCACCTCAGTTACATCAGTAATGTCCCCTTTGCCATATGATACAACCTCTTCAGTATTCTAAGGATTAGAGCCTGGGCATCTATAGGGACCATTCTTCAGTCCCCACATCTTCTTGTGTTGAAATCAGTGAGGAGCAAGGAGATAGCACTTCTGAGAGGGTGAGGGACAAGGAGAAGCCAAGAGTGCAGAGATGGGGAAATTGCCTGGAGTGCATGGGAGTGCCCACCATGAGGGGAGTTGGTAGGCAGTGGATATTGGGAAGACTAGTGGATATTGGAAAGGGGGAGCCGAAAGATCTGAGAACCTCAGTGTGGAGGAAGGACCCCACCCCAGATTCTGTACATGGTCCTCAAGGAAACCTCAATGAGAAGAGATTTCAGAGAACCGTGTCCTCCAGGAAACCACATTTCTGTTAGATCTGTGAGGCAAGGACATCTTGAGAGAACTTTGCAGGTTTGTTTTTCATAAGCTGAGGATTCCAGGGTGACTTGGAAAGATTCCAGGAGTTGGGGAGATGGCAGGAGAAGAGACAGGACAGGGGTATTCAGAGCCTCCTGAGGATTACAGTACAGGACATTGAAGGGGACCTAGCATGACTAACCTGACAGGGAAATGACACAAGAGGTTAGTCCTGGTGGATTCAGGACAGACAGCTGGGCTGGGTGAGGGGCAGGTGTGGGAGCAGGGGGGTCTGGGCCCTTTCTCTGTGCATGGAGATGTGTTTGGTGTTGTTGGGTCTTGGTGCTATTGTGGAACCTTTCTTGTCCTCTGTTGATCGGTGGAAGGTCTGAGAGTGTAGGTTGGCTGGGCTGTGCATGATTCATTCCTAACTGAGGAGAGTTGTAATTAAGCAAATTTTATACTATTTGACATTGGCTAATATTAGAAGGATATAGTAATTTTCCTTAGTATCATGATAATATTGTTATTGAAAGAAGAATGTCATTTTACAAGAGATAAACACTGACTTACATAGGAATGAGTATCACAATGATTGATTTTCTAGGGAGTCAGCAAGAATTACCTAACTATAATTTGTTCATTCTAAAATAAATATGAAAAAAGACTGAACTAGTTAGGTCTATAATCACAACTTTACTATTCTTTCAAAGTTTGGAATCTTTGATTTTTTCATGTAATCTGGAGAGAATTTACTGTAATACTTCCTCACAACATGGGAAATATTCACACTATAATGCTGAACAAAAATTAAGTTTCAAGTGTACATGTGTGTAAGCCAGATTGGTGGTGTATGCCTATCAACCCAACTACTCAGCAGGCTGCTGCAGGAGGATGGCAAGTTCAAGCCAGCCTGTGAAACTTTGTGAGACACTGTCTTAAAATAAAAATTTAAAAGAGAGTGTACCTCAGTGGTCCAAGACCGCTTGATTTAATAATAAAAATAAAAACAAGAATAAGTAATAAAGGTTATGCCTGTTTTGAGAATGCCTCAGTTGAGGGCATATCAGTGTTTATCATATTAGTACAGTTCAATACTTGAATAACTTATGCTTTAAAAAATTTATTCAGGTCACAGTTTGGGAGGGTCCAAAGCCTGCACCTGTATCAGCCCAGTTCTCATGAGGAGAGTGAATGGTGGCCTGCCATCATTAGCATATAGCAGAGCTAACTTATTACATCACCATCTTGGCAGTGGAGAGAGACTGGAGACCATGCACCCAAATCCTTCTATAGTCTAAGGACCTTCCACTGGGCCCCAGCCCTTCAAGGTCCACAGCATCTGCAATACCACTACACTGAAGAAGAAGACATTATGTAAGACCTATGGGCGGTACACAGACCTATATCAAACCACAGCAGAGTGCATTCATGTGCAAGTGTGTCAGTGTCTGTGGGCATTTATTTGTCCATCCAGTCTGCAATTTTTTTGAGATAAGATCTTACAAATATCAGAGATGTGCAGGTGACATGTTTTGAAAGATCCTTTATGCTTTTCCAACAAGAGTACAGGGGAAAATTTATTCAGTCTCCATTCTCCCAGGGCCCCAGAGACCCTGACAGAGATGAATATGTCATCAATATTTCTTGTTTCTCTCCTGAAAAAAAAAGTTATGTAAATGCTTTCATCATTGCTCCACTAAGAAGGAACACTGGAAAGCATCAGGGAAACATCTTCTGGGCTCGGTGGGGAGGGGAGATGGGAAGGACAAGAGAGATAAATGGACAGAGCAAGGATAGGCATGGGGTACAGGTGATTCTGAGGCAAGTTGGGTGGTAGTGACAACAAGGGGGTGCCCTGGATGAAGGCAGATGAGGGTGGATGTTGTGATTGTAAGGGTCCCACAAGAGGGGGCTTGTGACAGATACAAGTTGGTGAGGGTCCATAACAGGTAGGCAGGGGTTGGGAACAGAGAAAGTTTCCACAGTGGAGAGATGCAGAGGAGAAGATACAGTCCAGCACCTGCAGGCTGCAGTGTGGAGGGCTCTATAAGGGTGAGGTTTAGGCCATTAAGAGCAAGGGCCAAGAGTAGATGCCAGCACTAGAGGGGGAAGGAGGATGCCATTCTGACAACAGCAGGGAGGTCGCGGTGCCCTGCACTGTGCCAGTGGCTGTCATCATTAGGGTCCCTGCAATGGGGATGAAGAGAAGACTGACTGGAGCTTAAGTTCTATCAGAAACTTAGGCCCATCTGGCTGGGAGTGCAGCTCAATGTTAGAGCGCTTTCTTAGCATGTGTGAGGCCCTGGGTTCCATCCAGCACCACAAAAGGAAAAGAAGGGGGACCACTTTCCCAGTCCAACACAGGTTTTAATTGAAAAGGTTTATGAACTAATAGGATTCTTTTCCAAGGGCATGCTGGAAACACTGAAAAATAACATGACAGATCTGACAATCTTTTCTCAAGCAAATTCTCATCCTATTTCAGTTTCCTGAAACATTCCTGGTTAAGTCTCTTATGATTAAAAAGTCCAGTCAAGCTTTTATAAAAGTCCATCAGGTTCATCATCAAAGCTGAAGTCACACACTAGACAGAGGTGATCTGAAGGGTAATTGAAGGACAGAAGCCCATTTGGGTCCAATCTGTTATTAATTAAGTAAATTGACAGCCAATCCTACTGTCAGCTCTTTTTTGGAATACCATAAAATCCAGGGTGTGAATCTTCTAGGTAATGTACTGTCCATCATCACTCAGAAGCTTGTAGGTGCTATTAATATTGAGGCTGGAGGAAGAGAAGTGTTTGTGGACCACTTCTTGGCTCTGCACTGAAGTCCCAGGGAAATCTGCAGGTTCTGGAGAAGGTCACAGCCCTGAGGCAAACAGCCAGTGCATGTTTTTAAGTGGGTAATAGTGATGCTGAACTGTCTGATGCCTTGTGCTCTAGGATCTCTGCAATGGCCACCTGATTGATTTTCCATGTCATGATTGTCAGCCTAATGTTGGCACTGTTGATGAGCTTGAATTGGGTTTGGAGGAAAAATCAGGAATAACCATCTGGTCCATTGTCATGTTCAATTTCTGGAGAAGGTGACCAGGAGTTCAGCAACTGGGGAGCACAGAGCACTGATAAAGCAGGCGCTATCATAAGGGAACTGGAGGGGGGACCTGGGGACCCTTCAGTGGTACGGCTGGGCTGAGACTCAAAACCCAATGCATTCTACCAATGAGCTACATCTCTAGTCCTTTTTAGTTTTTATTTTGACACAAAGTCTAGCTGAGCTGCCTAGGCTGGCCTCAAACTTGCTATCTTCCTGCCTCAGCCTCTGGAGTGGTTGAAATTACTGGCATGCATCATTTCAGCTAAATATATTTTTAAAAATATTTTTAAATTTTCGGTAACAGGGATTGAACCTAGGGGTGCTTAACCATTAAGCCACACCCCCAGCCCCTTTTTTATGATTTATTTGAGACAGGGTCTCCCTAAATTACTGAGGCTGACTTTGAACTCACAATTCTCCTGCCTCCACCTCCCAAATTACTAGGATTACATGCATATGCCTGGCATATGCATGTAATATACCACAAATATATATTTTTTAAAGCCTTAGGAAACTAGGCCTGGTGGCAGACACCTGTAATTTCAGCAATTTTGGAATACGCAGAAGGATCACAAGTTCAAGGCCAGCCTTGGCATCTTAGTAAAATTGTCTCAAAATTACAAAGGCTGGGGATATAACTCAGTGGTAGAGCCCCCCTAGGTTCCATCCCCAGTAAGAAGAATAAAAGAGAAACAACAAAAACAAAACTTTCTGGAATTGTCATCATGGGAAACATAGAACTTTGCTTCACTTCCTTACAATTGTTTTAAGCTTAATAGAGTCCCAGTTCTTGGACAGTGGCCCACATCTGGAGCCCCAAACCTTCAGGGCCTCCTCTGAATATTTTTCTCTCTGGCAGTCATCTGCCCTGGCAGTCATCTGCCCTGGAACCAACCTTTTTTTTTAATTGTTATTGGACCTTTATCTTATTCATTTATTTATATTGGTGCTGAGAATTGAACCCAGTGACTCATGAATGCAAGGCAAGTGCTCTACCACAGAGCCACAACCCAGCCCTTGTATGTAATTATTAAAGCAGTAAAAGTCTTTTATTGTGGGGGTGAGAAGTATGGGGGAGGAGCAGAATGAGAGTGTGCTGGAGCTGGCTCACCTGGGAAGTCCAGAAAGAGGGTAGATATCACAGAGGAAAGGGTTTGGGACCAGGTATCAGGGGAGTTGGGTTTTCTCTCCCACTCTGCAGCAAAGGTCATTCTTGTGACCTCCATTAATGAAAATAAACTCTCCAAGAATGGGCCTGGACTCCAGTGCCTCCTGTGCAAAATAAATTATCTTGATCAAAATAATTAATAATAGCCAG